GTGGCGCTTGCTCCCAAGTAAGTGTGCATGGGATGGTAGCCTGGGGCCAAACTACAGGCTTTGCATCTTGCAGGACTTTTAAAAAAGCAAATTGCTCTAGTTAAGAAGAGTAGGCAGATAATTAATGGAAGTGTAGCAGGTAGCTAGGGGGGATTTCTCCCCTTCCCCCTTTCCTGCAATTCAGAGGAAAATTCTTCTAAAGCCAGTATTGGCTTTGCAGGAAATTCCCTATTAGTTCCTAAGGCTACAGGGTAGAATAAGAGCTTCTACCCTTCTTATTCAGTCAGTGTCTGTACCTCTCCCTCCTTCATTATTAAGAAATGCTGCTATCATCATCATCATCATCATTGCACTACAAGGCAATGTACACACAATAACATTTTGCAGCTGCAGAAACTTTGGACCACAGAACACAACCAAATGGCCCACAGCTGGTGGGAACCAGTACAAGTGGAGTTCAGCTGGTGGGAACTAGTACGATTGGAGTCTACCAGGCAAATCTTTGGGCCCCAGGCCTCCAGTAAACACTTACTTGGTATTTATATGATGCAGAAACCTGCGTAGGGGGTGATTCAGCTTGAAACATCACAAGCTGTGTGAAAGCCATGTTCACATTTCTTAAAAGTAAGATAGTGCTCTCTGACATTAGCTGCTGGTATTGCTTTGAGGATTATGTCTTTTATGCAACACTGAATATAAATATCAAGACACCTTAATTTATTTTAATAACCAAAGCATCTTCTGTAAACCTACTGGGGGGCATAGTTCAAAGCTTATCTTCAACCTTAAATTCTTAGTGACTGTACTCCTATCCAAAATGCCTAATGTATCTTGTATGATTTCTTTCTGTTTCATGGTTTGCGCATAATGATAATGCATGCTTTATTTAACCTATGGGTTATCATGTTCTGAGTTGTCATGATATGCAAACCTAGTCAAGCTAACAATCTTGGTTTCTTAACCATGAACAACCCAGAAAGAGAAGCCATGATTTTTTGTTCAGTTGCAAAATCTGGGTTGTTTAAACTATGTGTTGGCATTTCATGTGAAGGAGAAACATGGCTTGTTCATGGGTTCTTTTGCCAAGCTAAAGAGTTGATGAGCAATTCTGCACAAAATAACACAGTTATATGTAACCTGGTGCAAACTGGGTCTGTGTGCTGTTTGGTAAGGTCTTGGCCCTAAAAAACAAGTTATAAATACTTATAAATAAATAAATATTGGGACATGAGATGCTTTGAACCATCAAGAAGCATGACATAAAGACCAAGTATTACTATTACATCTTTTTTAATATTACTTTTTCCTGCTGTGTGGTCTTCTGTGATGGAGAAAACCCCTTCAGTTTTTAGGAACATGGGCAGTACAAATATATTAGACACTGGCTAACTGGAGTATGGAAAAAATAAAACATTTATGGAATCATTTGAAATGCTGGGAAAGATAGGAAGGCATTCAGTCCCATGGCTGGTCATTGAGGAAGAGATTTGGGGTCACATTATACAAACAGTTAGTTCATTCACCCTTGCTGTAGTAACAAAAATGTGGTGTCCTTTCGGATGAATCATAATCCATCCTGGTTTATTTTGGCAGCTGCTGCGTTTGGTGTTCTGTGACTTACAATGAGCACCAAGCATTTGGTTCCTAACTGAAATACCTTGGATCGATGGGGTTAGAGTTCACATGCTTCTGAGACTTTGAACTCTTCCTTTCCATAGTTTTCCTTGCTGACAGCTGCACCAGAAGAGATATGTTTGCATCACGGAAGAAGACAGCAGCAAGCCCTTCAGAATTTCCATTTCCTTTTGCATTGTTCTGGAATTTGGCCTCCATAGTTTCATGCCCTAAAATGTAGCCTTGTGTGCATGTTTCCCAGTAGGACCTTCCAGTGTATATGATTTGTTTTGATTTAGCTGTGTTGATAGTAAATGCTGATGTGTGAAGTTTACTTTCATTACAATCTGTCTTTCTTCACCAGGAATTTTGTTATGGGATTTTTTTTTTACAGATCACAATTCCATTTGCATTGTTACAAAATGAAACACGGGTCCCTTTCTTCAAGGCTCCCTGCCATTTCAGAACATTCACTTTTGCATTCAGAGAGATGGTTTGAGCCGCAGTGTAGTAACTATGGTTGCTGCTTTTTACATTTATTTTAAAAGGCTGGGAAATCCAGTCAGCTGCTTCAAGCAGCACGTCACTTGTTCCAAAGTTTTGTTTTTGCATGTAGTATTCTATAAAGTAGGTAATATATTTCCCCAAAAGATATTGCATGTTAAAGCGGTGGTCAATGGAAACTGCAGATGCTGAATCTCTAGAATACTTTGTCTTTTTAACTCACCATTTAAAGGCATTCTCCTTACATTGTTTTTCATTCTTCCTCCAAGATATTAGTCTCTTGCAGCCCCTTTCCTTCCATTTGTAATTCTGGTCTTCAGCTTATTTTCCTGATAAGTTCTCTTCAGGTGTAGTAATATTTTTGAAAAGAAAAGTCAAAATACATTTCTGTTATCTTCCTCAAAACATCTACGCTACTATAATACACAAGTTTAAATTGTATAGAAAATGTTTTAGTGTTTAGTTAGGGCCTGATGTTTTACTTTTGTAGTTGTATGCTTACTGTATTCTAAGTGAATACCTAAAAATGTAACATGTCAGTACAACAAACAAATCAGTCTCCATTTGACCCCTTGAAACCCCTTCGTTTCTTCTGCAGCTGCTACTGGCTTGTCTGTATCTGTCTGTGTTTAACTGTGAAAGTATGTTCTTGTTTTTGTAGTATTCTAAGCTTCCTTTTGAGGGCAGTCTCCTCTTTAAGATGGATTAGAAAATCACAACAACTGCAACAATATCAAGGCATATCATACATTAATCAGAGATTTGGGACTGGCAGTGGGTCACTGTTGGGTTTACATACTTGGAACAGCTTAGATTGGTTGCTGTGTAATTGGTGAGATGGCAAAAGGTTCCTCTGCCCTAAAGACTTGGATTGTTACAGACCCAGACTATCTGGCACATTTCCAGGGAGTGTCCTGGCTGCACAGGGACTAGATCTAGGACTGTTATTGTGGATCGTGTGAAATGGTCCCACCTAGGAGTGCAGTAGAGCACCCCTTGGAATAGTTTGAATTTACAGGAAAGGAAGCAACTCTGCAAAAGACTTCTCCCACACATGAAAAGCCAACTCAGCAGTTACATCTTCTGCCACTGCTGCAACCTGTTCTGGCTACAGGGAGAAGGCACGCTGATTTACCTGCGGAACGCAAAGTGTCCAGCAACTCACCTATGCCATGAGTCTCTGATAAGGTTGCCTCCTCTGCTGCCCTCTAGCATCTGTCTCCTTCCACTTGCCAATCATGGGAAGGAAGATCGAACCTAAAATAGATAGTTTAAAAGGAGGATTTAAGGATTACACACATGGAAATTACATTCACACATTACTTTAAAATATTTGACTTTTTGTGCCCATTCGTCATTCGTTATGTTCATTGGTTAACCCCTTGTTTTTGCTGTGACTGAAGACAGTGTCTCCAACGCTCAGACAAGCAGCCTGAGGCCTTGAAATGGGGCAGGTTGCCATCCTAGATATAGCTGCATAAATAACCTCCTTAATCACGTAATTGCTGAACTAAGACTAGCTTGAATCTTCCTTGCCCTGCTGGCCTCTCCATTTGCTTATGTTTTCATTGGCACTCTGAATTGCAGGCAGGAAATCATACAAAAGTGATTGTGCTGAATATTTGAGCACAAACAGGTTTCAAAGGACATAGCTTTTGGCACATGGCTTTATCTTTACATTTACTCTCTGTTTTATTTCCTTTGCAGTTGGTAGCCTTCATCCCAGCAGCTTTTACACTGCATCCTGTTTCCCTTCCTCTCTCAGAAGTTGGAGCACTGGGACTCCTGACTTTTGTATTTCTACCACTTGAGTCTTTAAACAAGAAATTTGATTCACTTCTGAGATAAAGCCCCTTCCCACACATTTTTCCTCTTGGTAGAATGCAGAGCTGAATTCTTCACCATGCACTCCCTTTTTGCTAAATAAGTCTGATCAGTTTTTGGGCAACTGAGATTTCTCTAGCTCTGCCCAGAAGTAAATGGAAAGATATGTAAGTGGAAGGATTTAGATGGGGGTTCTCTGTCCAGATACAGAGGGAATGGGGAACATCTGGATCACAGGAACTCCCATCTGTCCCACTAACTTACCTACTTGTCTTTGAATATGAATTAGAGGCCATTTAGTTTCTCTGTTCATCCGCCTTCACTGCATTAAACTTTTTTAAAAGCCTCTTTGGGGGCCAGTTGAAGTTTTCTAGAAACCTAATTGCTGTAAGAGGGCATTTTATGGGAGGTTGGCTGTTGGAGAGTGAAGAATTAATCCTCTATGACAGTGTGACCTTCCTTCAAATTCACCCCTTCCCTGCTGAAATCATTCTTTTAAAGGCCCTCTCACCCCAATTAGTATTAGTAATATTATATAATTTGGTAGTAATGGATTTGTTGGTTTTGTTGCAGTGGGGGCTCCATATTCTACTGTTTTCCTAAAGACAAGGTAGATCCAAGGTTGGGATACAGTAGCTAAAATGTGGTATGGAAAGCACTATTTTGCACAAGAAAATCTCGGGTATTTATACTTTAAAACAGCACTTGGATTGAATAGTATAAAGTATTAATGTTGTTTTATTCCATTTCACTTTTGGAGTGGGATGCAAAGGAGTGGTTGACTATAAATTATGTAGATTTTCTCTGTGTAGACATGGATAAAACAAAAGCTAATGTGACTTTAAATCACACCTGGAAGCATTTCACCCTCTTCCACAAAATGAAATGCATTGCATCACTCTCCTGAATTCATGATTCCTTTTGCCAAACATTTCCACTCAAAGAAAAGAAGGGATTGCCTCTGTATACACGCAGGTCTGTGCTGTTAAGGTAACATTCAAATGAACAAAAATTCCTCAACCATCTAGGTAACTTAACTCATCCTGTATTCCTCATAGTAACTGAAGCTGGTTTCGGTGCTGATATTGGGATGGAGAAATTCTTCAACATCAAATGCCGAGCATCTGGCTTGGTTCCCAGTGTGGTTGTGCTCGTTGCTACAGTGAGGGCTTTGAAGATGCATGGAGGTGGGCCAAATGTAAGTTTCTTTGTCTGTTTAGTAAACCAAATGATAAATCTTTCAAACTCCCTAAGGTAGTGTTTCTAAGTCCATATCATTTGAAATATGTATAAACATTTGTAATGTTAAAATAGTTGGAATAGTTCTCTCTTCCTTGCAACCTGGTTAATGAAGGCTTGCACTGAACTGTCCTTCATTGTGCAGAAGGATGTGGCATTATCTCCAGAGATCACAAGACTTAAAACATAGTAAAGACACCTGTCTAAATGACTACAATTTAGGAAAGGGAATTAGGTCTGTGTGCATTTTCCCTCTGTTCTCTCTCTTTGCACTTTCATGGGTAATCCCACCAATTTGGCAGCAAGTGTGCTGCTTCCTAAGCACCTGCCCAGTTCCACGTTCCTAACCAACCCAGGAATGCCATGAAAAGTCTAGGTTTTTAAAAGATTAAGCAACCCAGAGTTAACTTGGCAACAAATTATGGGACAACTCTGTGCCATTTAACCCGTCATCAACCCAGAATTACTGTAATGGTAAGAACCTGAGGTGTTCCTGAGTTGTTCAGGAAAATGGCAGTGGCCAAGTGAGTGGGAACCAGTCTGGCTGCTTTTCCTGCATGCTCATCATTGTTGTTCATGATTTGTTTGGTCATGCAAACCAGGTCACTGTGTCCCATATCTTCTGCTAGCACATACCTTTGCTGCTGGTATTCTTCAGTTACCCTATGCTAAGTAGGGTCACTCTCCAGCCAAAGTTAACCATGTTTAAGACCCATGAAAGAGTTACTAAAAGGTATAGAATTCAAAAGTACCTCACTAGATTGTGCCCTGCCTCTCTGCGGGCCTTTGCCCTGGATCATAGCAGTGCTCTGAGTAGATTATTAAAATCTAATTCTTCCTTTCCAAAGTTCTTGCGTTATTTCCCCCTTACCCTGTCACCCAAGCATGCAGTCTGGCTTTCATCTTTGGTTCCTCTCATTTTTTCCCTTTAATTTCTTGTAGAGTCTGACGTTTTCCTTATCCTCCTTGAGTTTCACAATCTTCCCTGAGGTTGGCCACTGCTGTATATTTACAAACATTTCTTCAGCCATCTTATATCTATACAGAATGTTGATTCCAAGATTGCATCCTAAGCCAGCCAGTGCATCTGTCACTGTTTTTGTATCCACCCCACACTTCTTTGTCTCTGTCCTGCCCTGCTTTTCATTTTTCATGCTCACTCTTTTAGCATCTATTCCTAAAGTAGCAGATGCACTGCTTCATGCTAATGCTTCATCCTTCCTCACAGAACGCATGTCCTGCGCCCTGCATCCCCACCTCTTAAATCCTTCTACAAACTACGTTTTCTGCTTAATACTTTGCAAACTCGCTCTCTTACCTACAGCATGAGCCTAGCCATGTTTACTCGGAAGTATAAAGTTCCATTGATCTCAGTGACACCTACCGCTACGTGAGTATGTTTTGGAATGTGGCCCCAACATTATTTATTATTCCTTTCACGTCTTCCAGCTGCAAAGACTTGTCATGGTTGCGCACCCAACAAAGCCTGCACAATTGTGATTGGGAAATGCGTTGTTTTTACTGAAAACTCAAGCAGAAAGAAGGCTGTTTCTTAGTCATTCCCCAGCCCCCATGGTCAGCTGCTGAAATCTTTAAAACTTATTTCAATTTTGTTGCTTGCCTAAATGAGTATAAGCACGAAAGGCAATTAGCAATCCAGTTTATGTTAAATTAACTCTCACCCCACCCACTTGAACACTTCTGATTCAGTGTCCTCAGTTTTCCATTTAAGACGTGCTTCACATTTTTCTTCTGTGATAACTTGCAGGAAGTAAAATTTATTGACTTTTTGGGTTTAGTCTGATTTCTACCCTGAAGAATTGCCAAATGTAGCTTAGCAGATATATGCTTGTTAGTAGTTCTATTTGAGTAGCAGACTTGTTCAGAACTTGAAGAGGAATACAATTTCAAAGTCTGGGCCCAGTAGTTAGATTTGCTGACAGCTCTTACTGTGGATGCAATTAGAGGGAGAAAATGCAATAAAGTAACTTCTCCTTCTCTTGCACCTTTCACTGTGGTTTGCTAGAAAGCTCCCCCCCCCCCCACAAAAACAAAACCTCATTCTCTCCTCTTTCTGCTCATCTCTTTCTCATCCTGCCTGCTATCCTGGTCACATTACCAGCAATATCCAACTTTTCCACTGTCCCTAGCTTGTTATCTCATCTTTTCTTTCTAGAAACTTATTGGCTGTCAGGCAGGAGCAATGGCAAACAATGGAAACAGGAGGATATGGTACAGGGGGAAGCTTCATATTGAAGAGGACCGCATAGAACATCCTCCTCCAACCTGATATCCTCCAGGACTCCAACTCCCATTGGAGGGCAGCAGATTGGGGAAGGCATGTTCGGAGCAATACAGTGATGGTTACAGTTGATGGACAAGCTGCACCCTCTGCTAATCACATCCATCATTGGCAACAATTGTTTAAAAAGTCATTCAGTAGCGATTAGTGTGGTTCAGTTAGTATGGGTTCATAGCTATGCATAGAATGTTATAAATGCGTGATGTCCAACTTGAAGAAAGAATTCTTAACTTGAAGGAAGAATAAGGCTGAGACAACATGTTGCTTGGGTGTGGTACTCCAGTTCCAAAAAACCTGAATTGCATGGTTGCACGGTTGATGGCATTTGCAGGGGAGAAGCAGGGTGCATAAGCTTGATGAGAGTTCCCTACAACTTTTTGGCCATGTTTTCTTCCAATTGAGCTTCTTTCCAGTCCCACAGCCTGCTACATGTGAGAGGAATTTTCAGGGCAAAGCAGTGAAGACGATAAGAATGAAGATCTTTCCCTGCAAATGCTTCTCCCAGATTTTTTTTTGGGGGGGTGGTGTCATGTTTGCCGGCATGGTTAGTAAAGTACACTCTGCTACAGTATAACTTCAGCTTAAAAGTGGAAGTAAAGGTTAGTTAAATGTATATTATATTTTCAGGTAGATTGAAAACTAACTCAGAATACAGGATGTTGTCAAAATATATCACAATGATCCTCTGTCTACTCAAGATGTAATACTTTATGAAAGAAGCTCCATGAAGCGAAATATTCCAAAATTTACACTGTTAAACCTTATGCCCTGACATTTAAAGTCACACACACTATGTTGACATCTGTTTCTTTCAGAAAGTAACTTACCGAAAACAGTAGCTTTTAAGGCATTCTCATTGTCTAGTAATCATGGATCAATCTTTTTGGACACATCAAATTTACATGAGTATTGTTTAACTATGTGTTTGTGATTTCAGGTAACAGCTGGTGCTCCTCTTAAGAAAGAATATACAGAAGAGGTAATGACATTTTCTGACAGACATAAAACATTTACAAAACCAACACCCCACCCCCCATCTCACAGTACTTGTTACTTTGCAGATTATAAAGCGAGACAGGAATTAAACCTAGAACCTACAAAACTAGACTCCTGAATAGAGGTTTTTGTGTTGTATTGCTCTGTGGGTAATTCTATTATGTCAAGGCCCTGTTCATTCTTTTGTTTATTTAAAGTGCTTATGTACCACTTAATATCATATGATGATCTGCAGGCAGTTCCCACACACGCGCACAAACACACTCAAATTAAGCAAATATAAATATAAAACAGTACAAATTAATAATGACTTTAAAAATGTCACAAGCACAATAGAATGTGGTATAAATCAGTGTCCTGCAACAGCAGGGCGTTGGACTCAATGGCCTTCTTGTCCCCTACCAATTCTACTGTTCTATGATTCTATGAGAACAAAACTTTTAAAATACATTTTCATGAATTTGTATAAAGTGCATTCAACTTTAAGCCTATTATCCATAGGTTTAAACATGTATGGTCTAATAAAAGTAGACCATATATCCACATAAGAATCCATTTGAAGGTGGCATCTATATGGTGCCAATCAAACAGTGAAAGTATTATAACATCTTCAGTCCCTTGCATTATAGGAGGTTAGTTTTTATCCTTGCAATGTTCTGATACCACTTTTAGCTGTCAAAAGGGCACATTTACACCAACCATTTGTTTATGTCCCCAAGGTAAGTAGATAATTTAAAACAGAGTATGCATCTGTATATATTAACTGTTCCAGTACAACATTTATCAGTGTAATAGCCTCCTTCCATGCAACTTTAGATATTGTGAAATCATATGGTTAAAAAACATTAGCTGTATTATACTTCTGGCAATTAGCTGAGACAATCCATCAAAGCTCACAGTACAGATATTCTCTTCACAGATAATATATACTTTTGCAGATCAGTGAAAGGCTAACAAGTTGCAGTGACACTTTTGGCCCTTCTCTCTTGTGTATACTCCCTATTCCTAAGCTTCTCTTTTCCCTCTCCACAGTCATGAGATCCTTTCTCCTCCTTGGAGTCCTAACATTCCTCTCATTCTTTTTTTATCTCCCTTCATCATCACTCTGCCCTTGATCTGAAATCTGCTGAGCAGCCCAAGGCTTGAAGAATGTATGTGGGGGTGTGTGTAGAAATCGGTTTTTTACTGCAGGGCTTCTGAAAGGATGAATGATACCAAAAAAAATCGCTCTATTAACCTCATACACCAGCAGCAGCACCATGGGAACTGCAGGTGTGGGTGTAATCTACAGACATGGTTACCTGGTTCTGCAAGGTTTTGAGATATACAGATAAGTAGTTCCAAAATTAAGTAGTTTGGAATGTCAGACATAATCATATTGGAAGATTTTTAGTACAGGGGAATTCATGTTCCAGTCCTAGATTTGACCTTCCTTGATCCATGGGATATATTGTGCTATGGGATAAATTAATAAGAATAGTAAGGTAGGAAATATCATGCAGAAACAATTTAATTGTGTTTACCATTTAAACCCTTAGGTGGAGCTGTGGGTTACAGTCGGGGAAGCTGGGCAGTAACCTGTCCAACTTCCAGTGCTTGATTTTTCTTCACCCACAGACATGGGGTTTCAACATGGGGCTTGCCAAGCCCCCTTCAGTGGCTAGTACGACTGGAGATTTGCCACTGTTGGCAGTGTGATTGGATAGTTAAATATACTGCACTGTTTCACATGGCTTTATTAAAACCATAGCACCAAATGATAAAAGGCAATTTATTACTATTCAAGGTTTCTGTTTACTTTCGGCTATTTCTCCTTCCTCATGCAGAATCTCAAGCTGGTATCTGATGGCTGCAGTAACCTAAAGAAACAAATTGAAATTGCAGGGCTGTTTGGTGTACCTGTTGTAGTTGCTCTCAATGTTTTCAGGTAAAATTATTTGTTCTTTATTGAACTGAGAGATTCAGATGGGGGCAATCTGCCCTATTCTTTATTTCCTGAAATCATGAATATTTATTCCTGATTAAATATATTTAACAGCCCAGTTGACATCAGGCCAACCAAGAACTTTAATCAATGAAACCAGCTATCACAAAAGGAATGAGATTTTCAAGGCCACTTATTTCTGATGTCTTGTCATTTGCCAGGTCCATTACGATTAACAGATCTGTGAATATGATAAAATATGTAATACTGAAATGTTAATCTTCAGTTCAAAATCCGTGTTGCTGTTGTAAGTTTATTAGGCTATCTAAAAGATCAGCCCATAAATTATGCAAACTTTCATGATCTCCAGATATCTCCGTCAAACAAGATGTTATAAATGGCAGATCTGGGTCAGGGAAAGGTGGAGAAGTCACATCGGCCTGGTCTGTAAAACATGGCAGCCCACTATGGCTTAATTTAGCCACAGGGCATCATGCAAGGTGCCCTCTTGTGATATTTTTGCATGGAGCACAAGGGTGGCTACCTTGTCATGGCTTGTTATGTCAAGTGAACCCAGCAGTTGTGGCTTGATGGTTGTCTAAAATAAACCATAGGTTATTTGAGAGTTGTCTTACCTTCAGACAGCTCTTGCTGTCTGCGTTCACGCAAAGCAAAAAGCCATGGCAAGCCTGGCATCCACAGGTTCTCTGGACGATAAACCCAGTGAGTGAATTATGTCATGGTGGGCTCTTGTCTTGTGTGAGGTCATTGTCTGGGTCTGAGGTATATTGTGGGAAAAGGAGACTGCAAGCATTCACGATAAGCTCAACAGGGCACAGATGGTCACAGGATGTTCCTACTGAGCCTGACTATACCAGGGGAGAGGAAGGGGGGATGTTTGCTCCTCCACTGGGGGAACTTGAAGACTAGCAGTTCTCAGAAGTGTTCTCTTTCCTGGTTGAAGCAAATGGACTCCTTTTGCTGGTGGATCACAGAGAGAAATTAGGCAGCCTTTATCAAGAGATAATTTTAGATGCTCTTCTAGGTAATAAAAGTCAATAATACTAAAGCCACTTGAGGAATGAACCCTCAGAGAATGCTGGTATAAAAAACCTCCTCCTCCTTCCTTGCAGAGTCCCACTGTAAACTCGCTAAATATAGTATTTTGTTCATTCCTTTATTCATATATTCTTTTAAGCCTAATCAGCTACCTAAAATTGAAGGGGAAATTATTACACTGAAATTTGCATTCAGAGAGGCTCTAACTATGCACTTCTTTAAATGTAACTTTGAATCTCTTGCTTGAGATTCCCTGTGTTGTTTTGATCAGTAAAAGAAGCCATGGGATTGGGACCATAGTGTGGGAAGAGGGCTGAGATAAAAGCATAAATAAAAAATGACTGATATAAAACCATGAATAAAATAATTAAATGGCTATTTTGTTGACAGAACGGACTCTCCTGCTGAGATTGATTTGGTTTGCGAAATGGCCAAACAATCTGAAGCTTTTGATGCGGTGCCTTGCAATCACTGGTCAGATGGGGGCAGAGGAGCTGTGGAATTGGCTCAGGCCGTAAGAAGGGCCTCTAATCAACCCTGTAACTTCAGATATCTGTATGACCTGGAGGTAAGATAAAAGAGGAAACAGTGGGAGAGCACTTGGGGGAACCTTCCATAGGATGTGATTAAGCAAGTAGCCATTGAGTCAGTATCTCTAGCGGTACACAACATTTTTCCTGATGGGATTGGATGCTTGCTTGTGTTCTTTGTCAAATTTATTGTTAAGTATGTTCAGCTACACATGTGCAGAACATTTGAAAGCCTATAGATCTAAACCAAATATAATTGGTGACATTTTGGACTAGTTGTTTTTAACTATGCTTTGTCATGACAACTGAGTCAGGAGCTTAATCTAACCCAGATGAACTACAGCTCCATCTAACCCATCAACTGCATTGCTAGAACTGCCACTCTGATATTTTACAAGCCCAAATATGGTACCTTTTTCTGTCAAAAACAAGTGATCAAGGGCCTTTCATAAACCCATATAGGACCTAGGGCCTGTTTAGACACTGATTGGAAGCCATAGTTTCCTGTTCTGTGAGCAAGTGCACACAAGCTTTGGATTTCTTTTTCTTTCCTGAATCACAGGTGCTTTCTCCTAATTTTAAATTAACCACAATTTCTTGTGATTACTGAATTTGAGAAGTGTGGATGGATGGAAGTTTACTTAAATGGATGGAAAGTTAGTTAATGGAACTTCAGTTAATGAGAATAAGTCAGCATAAAACCATGGTGTCATAGTTAATGCATTCTTTTAAACCATAGTTTGAACAAATCAAAGTTCTGCAAGTTCATGCAACAGGGGAAATATAATCAGTTTAAAATCTAAAGTAGAAGCTTCCAAACTTCCCCTTTGATGTGCAAAAGAGGATGATGTGGGAGCAGGTTACTTCAAGTAGCAGGAAATTATGGTTTTCCGTTACAAAACTGATCCAGTCTCTTGAGAAAATTTAATATGCGAGGTCTCTGGACTCTCCATTGACATTTTGTCTTTTGCTTATACAGCTGATTTGCAAAGTCCTTAAAGCCAGTTCTACGAGATCTCTTTCCTTACTCGTGTGTAACACAACTAGTAAGCTCATTGGCAGATTACTGTGGATCAGATTAAAACTTTGTAGTTCTCTGTATCCTGTCAAAAAGGTTCTAAATAAAGCTTTCATTCATTTTGAATCATTTTTCTTTACCAGTCAAGGAACATTATTTTGTTATGTTAAATGTAACACCAGTTATTTGCTTAGAAGTAGAAGGCTGAAGTCAATATGGAAGGACAATATGGCATTTTAGTGGCTGAAACAAGGGTTTTGCGTATGTACGGAGGGCTTTTCCATCTTGCCTTCCTGCTACAGCCCTTTGCATTCTTCTCTAATGTCCATACCAGATAGTTGTGGCACCTTCCAGAAGCAAAGCACATGTGATGTTGAGATGGAGATGGAGGTGCACGGACAGCAGTATTGCAGAAAACAACAAACTCATGTGCATTTGGAATAGCTTTCCATTCCAACATGGGGCCCTTCTTTGTTCTGGTCGTATGCTATGGTGCATTGACAAGGCTGGCTAGAGATTATGGGTGTTCGTTCTCATACATTGGAAGGAAAATTAGGGAAAGCTGATTGTATACTTCACATCAATAGCTGTATGACTTCTCTCTCTCTCTTCCTTTAAGGGTTGGGGTGGGAATTTCACAAACTTGTCCTCTGCAAAAGCATTGGTATGGAATGCTCAATTCATCTGTGTGACAGCAAGAAAAGCAAAATTTCTATTGTGCCTTCTCAGTCTCTTCTTGCACTCCATGTTGTAGGTTGCTTGCCTTTCTTCAGACTAGAAAAAATTCTAAATATGAGGAATAAGGCTCTGAAGAACTAAGCATGTTTATCCTTTATTTATTTATTATTTGTTAAAACATTTTTATGCACCCCATTTGCCGAAGCCTCGGGGCGGCTTACAACAATAAGTTAAAAAATAATTATAATATTAAATTAAAAAAATATAAACATTAGGTTGAAAATACAAAAATACCAATATAAAATAAGCCGCCCCGGCCAGATAAAATCCAATAATATTAACAGTTAAAATGCCGCTTAAATAAAAAGGTCTTCGCCTGGCGCCGAAAAACAAATAACGACGGCGCCAGGCGGACCTCCCTGGGGAGCGCATATATTTCAATATAAGCAAGTGTAGAGTAAAGCACGTTGGGGCAAAAGTCCCAACTTCAGGTTACACTGACGAGACGTGAACTAGCCCTGACTGAGCAAGGGGGGTAGTGCACAGCTTGATGAACCTATTGGCTCAGTGCTCAGCTGATTATAAAGGAACCAAACTCCATCCTAGGCATAATTAGGAATGGAGTAGAAAATCAAATTGGTAGCATCTTATTCCCCTTACAGAAATCTTTTGTGCGACTGCACTTGGAATGTTGTGTTTAGTTGTGGTTGCTGTACCTGAAAAAGGACATTATTCAGTTGGAAAAAATGCAGGGAAGGACAACGAAAATGATCAGGGAACTGGAACAGCTCCCCTAGGAGGAGTGACTGCAATAACGGGGACTGTTTAGCCTAGAGAAAAGTCGAATAACATGATAGGGTGTTTAAAATAATGCACAGTATGGAGAAAAAGGAGAAAAAGACATTTTCTCTGTCTTCCTTAATACTAGAATGCAGGGTCATCCCATGAAGCTGATTGCTGGGAAGTTTGGGACAGGTAAAAGGAAATGCTTCTGCACACAGTGCACAAACTGTGGAAGTCACTGTCACGGGAGGTGGTGACGGCCACCAATTTAGATGGCTTTAAAAGGGGATTGGACAGATCCATGGGGGAGGAGGCTATCAGGGGCTACTAGCCTTGCTGGCTAGGTGCTACCTCCTGTAGCAGAGGTGGCATTCCTGCAGGCTCCAGCTGCTGAGAAGTTGCTGAGCTTGTACCCATCCTGCTTGAGGGATCCTGCTTGCACCCATCCTGTGGGAAGTGAAGATGGGCAGCTGATGAGTGCCTAGACAGGAGACTGCTGGGAGACACATGTAATCTAATCTTGGGTTTCGAAGGATACAAGTATATAATTTAAAAGGGACACATGTTAAACACATAAACATATGTCAGATTTTTTCTAAATCGTTTAATTTTAAGCAGTTGGATTACAGTTAATTTCTTTTCCCTGAAAAACACAGCAGTTTCTATGGATTGGGGGGGGGGTGAGGGGGCGGACACAAAACCCTCCATTACATTAAGTTGTCATATAACAATAGATTAACAAATGCTTTGATAGCTTTTATAAGTAAGTAAATGTGTATCCAAATTGTAATATGAAGGGACAACAGTCTATTGATTTTAAGACTGGGAAAGATGTGAAAAGCATTACATCAGTTGTCAAGGGACTGAAATAGTAAGAAAAAGGCGGCGAGACTAAGGATGTACAAATAAATTGTGGCATTGGGAATTACACAAGGGATTTTTGTAAAAATGCAGACAGGCGACAAGGAGCTTTGCTAAGACCATAAAGAACTTTACCATATTAACCGTGTTTGTCTTCACACAGCACTCATTTAAACTCTTTGCCTCTGTGCTGTTTATTATTTCTTTTCCATTTTCTGCCATCTGAATCCTGCACAAAGCAATATGCATTTCATAGGTATTTGTTTTAAAATATTAGTTAGAATACATATGGAGAACTTCAGCATCTCAGCAGTCTTATCAAAGAAGACTTCCTTCAAGTGTTTCAGTTTTTGAGAAGGATGAATTTTAAGCAGAAGCAGAGAGCTATTATTCAAAATGAACTGATGTATTCATTAGCCATAAGCTTAAATAACTGAGGCAGGGAAGCTAGGAGAGGAGAGGAAGTACAGATTTATCACCATCCCCACCTTCCAGTTCTTAGTATTTAGTATTTAGTAGCATCTCAAAGGATGCTACTAGCTGAAATTCCACCCAGTTCTAAGAAATTTCTGCTGGTGGTGATTTTTGACATATACCATTCTTCTTTTAAGATACCAAAGCAGAAAAGACATGCCCGAAGTCCCATGCAATAGCTCATCACTAGGGTGAAGAGAAACCTAATATGAAAAGACAACGTCATGCCCTTATCTGTGAAGTGCCTCTAGCTTTCTTCTTGCTTGCCATTTGATTTGACAGGCACGCATACACAGTAAATCCAATGCAGGTTCCCCTGTGAGCCTTGCCATTGTTTCACACTTACTATTTGTAAAGTATGTATATCTGGCCCTTTGATGCCTTATTATGCTTAAAAACCGGCTACTTTTTAAAGGCAAAGCTCTTCTAAGGCATATGTAGTAGTGGCGTCATGAGCGCTTGCCAGCTAGATTTGTGCACGGCTGACCTCTGCAGAATCATTTCTTCCTCGGGAAGAAGCATATGTTCAATGCAGTGGGAAAGTTTGGTATGAGCGGTGATCAACCTGTTTCCTGCCCCCAGAGTCACATCTGTCAGAATGACCCTTGAAATACAGAGTAATGTACGATACCCCCTCCCATGGGACTTTCTTTCAGAAATCATAATAATAAAGAATGATGAATTTGAAAGGTAGCTTTTTCCCATCTTACCTGCACTGTTCTTCCATCTCACAGGACAGCAGGACTATTTTAATAATTTGTTTTGTTAAATCCTTTTAAGTCCTTTTGCGGTCTCAAACCCAGGACGGGAACTGGTTGTATCTTGGGGGATAAAAGTAAATCATTTTTAACCACAGGTGGAGGTGTGTATTCACGTAATAGCTAAACTTTGGTTAGCATTTTTCTTCTGCACATTATGAAACTAAGGAAGGTGATTCAGGTATAGGAATTCTTTGTCATCCTCAGAACCTGTGGAACCAAAAGAGGGAGATAAAATTACAAACAGATTTATGAAATAGAAAGCAACAAAGGAAAGAAATGGAAACTGAAATGTGCAGCGTCAGCTGCTGTTTTAGCACCATGCCATATCAATCCAGAGCACCTTGAACTATGCATTTTGTCTTGGCTCAGTTCCTGACAGCAGATGTGGGGAAGATATAGATGGCTTCATTTAGCTGAGGGATGGTTATATATTATTTCTCCCAGTGTTTATGGAAATGAAGAA